TGAACACAGCTTGACATCGTTAGTCGCCCTTTCTTAGTGCCAGAATCAAGCTTTGCTGAAGCAAGGCTTCTTTCAAAGCTGCTCATCTTCTGGAGAAAGGGAACGAAGACTTTGAATACCAGCGGCTTGTCTCCTTTTATGGCTGGTAGGCTTCTTTGCACGTGGTCCATGAGCGATTTCTCTCAGACGAATTGGTGCCGATGAAAGGATGCTGGAGGCATAAAGAAACCTGAAGGCATAGTCCGAAAGAGTTGATCATATCCTTATGAGACTCGTTTATCGAGATCAGAGAACTCACTCAGCACTTCTTATACACTTAGGAGATGAAGTGCCAGCGCCTGCTTCACACTGTGTTCAAGCCCACCAATACTTCATTCTTTTGGTTGGAGATGGAGGACAGTCTCACACTGTACCCACTTCACTTCGTCGCAAGAGAAAAAAAAAAAAGATGTCGAAAATTGCGACTCATTTGCGATTGACCCCTCTACACCCCGCATTCATTCAAGTAAGTTGATCTCAACCTTCACCATGTCCCGACCGTAACTGATGCTCTAGCTATACTCAGCAAGTGAAAGTATTCTCACAGAGAGAAGCTCGTCACATCATTATTTCCCGGAGTCTCACAGAGAGACAACCTAGCGCTCAGCTCATCACAAGGTCTCTCACCTGGGCCTGCCCCTCTTCAACCAGGGTATCAAGATACCTCTCAGTGGCTGCTCTGGGACTACACCCACCACCACCAACGCACTTCGCAAACGATATACACGTTTCATAATGAGCCCAGTAAGCGACGTCGCCGACGGCGACACAGGCGACCTCTTCGCCGACCCGGAGGACTACTACCCGCCCACCCCGCCACCCACCTCGCAAACCCACACCCTCGCCTCGGGCCGCGTCCTGACTCTGCACCTGGTCGGCTACTCGCCCACCGAAGCGCACCACCTCTGGAACGGAAGCCGGGTCGTCTCAGACTACTTTGAGGCGGACCCGTCCCGCGTCAAAGGCAAGACGGTGCTGGAGCTCGGTGCCGGTGCCGGCCTGCCGAGTTTGACGGCGGGCATCTTGGGCGCAAAGCGCGTCGTGGTGTCGGATTTCCCGGACGCGGATATCGTTATGACGATGCAGAAGAATGTGGATGAGGCGGGGGATCTGGAGGGGGTCGTGGTGCCCAAGGGGTATGTCTGGGGCGCGGACGTGAAGCCTTTGTTGGCGGAGATTGCTTCTTCAGCCGAGGGGGGAGAGAAGAAGTTTGACGTGCTGGTGTTGGCGGATCTGCTGTTCCGGCACTCTGAGCACGGGAAGCTCGCTGATACGATCTGGGAGGCGCTGGCGAGGAAGGAAGGGAGCGTGGCGTATGTGTTCTTCACGTCGTACCGGCCGTGGCTGAGGCACAAGGACCTGGCCTTCTTCGATGTCGTGAGGGAGAGGGGGTTGCTTGTCGAGCAGGTGTTTGAGAAGAAGATGGAGAAGCCGCTGTTTGATGGAGACCCGGGCGATTTGGAGATTCAGAAGACGGTGAGCGGGTTTGAGGTGCGGTGGCCGAAGGAGCTGCTGGAGGAGAGCAAGGCATGAGGGATGTCAGGGATGTTGAAGACGTTGGACGAGGGACGGTCAGTGTCTGCTGGATTGCGTTATGGGATCTCTGAGCCATGGGCGAGTGGTTTTCTACGAGGAATGAGCATGAAGGAAGAATTGGGTGGGCATATCTGGACTGGGATAAACAAAAAGAATGGGATACAAATGAAAAGAACACCAAAGAGATTCTCTATTGGGGATGACATCATAAAAGAGACATTCAAATGGACCTTTGAAAGAAAAAAAGAAAAAAAGAGAAAGGAATGGAGGGGGGATACTGACCTTATAGTCCACGCCCCTGCCCAGATTCGAACAGCGCGCCCCTCAGGCCAGCACGGCTTCATTGGAGTATTTCTTTTAACATCTCTGCGTCAGAGTGTAAACCACCCGGTCAATCCGGATGGGTGCTGGTGACAGGAATGAAGTTGAGGAGATATAAATAGCCTCCTTCGACGAAAGACGGGAAGAAGGGAGGTGGTAGGTGGGAAGGTACGGGTGGGGCTGCAAGACTTTACACCGGGAAGGCATTTTCCACCTGCCTCCTTCTCACTTTCCTCGTAGACTGCAGCTGGAAGGGGACCTTGATAACCATGGCTCTACGAGTTGGAGCGAGATGCTTTCAGCATTGCATGGATTTGTTGTCATTGTACTGAAATCTATGCTATGGAAGACTTGGACCTGGAGAAGGGGGTTCTCCTGTGTCCAGCTTCTTCAAGCTGACCATCTCGACCTTTTCGACTATGAGGCAACTGGCTCCGGGGTTCGAGATATGGTCTCGAGAACTTTACATATGCCGCTCTCTTGCCAGGGGTATGACACCAACACTCAATTTGTCCATTAACCATTGCCGTCAATTTGGCATGGTGCGGCACAGATATCATTAGCCGCATGTCTATGAAAAATGTGGCTCACATTCGATCCAGATGGTTTGGTTAAGAAGACATCTAGTCTTATATCAGCGCCAGGATATGAAAGAGTTGCGGCTCAAATCAGACCGACATCGTCAGGCCACCCTCTACCGATAAGTTCCAGTCATTCTTGACCTCCGGCCCCTTCGTTACTGGCAAATAAGGTGCTAGTAGCGAGCCTGAGGACTCAAACTGCCAGCAGGTTATGAAGAGGCTACGAAAGACTACTTGACGATCCAGAACCAGAAACGTACACTGGCATGTACTCAGAAGACGACGGCCAAGCTTTCGTTCGAATTGCGGATACTGTTCTCCGAGTTTGATTCGCCATTGCGAACACTTGATGGACGAATCCATGCTCTGTAGACCCCCCCCCCCCCGCTCCGCGTTGGTACTCACCTCAGTTATGATTCTTTTATATTCTAGCGCCACAGAGTATCACTACCGAGCACCTGACCAACAAAACCGTGAAGTTGTTTCTCATGTGACAAGAAGTTCCGTTAACCGCGATTGCGCCGGAGCTGGTGCTGACTGGGATATATTACTGCTGCCTGAGGTTTGACGATGCCTACTGCGTCTGGCTACTGCGAATTATGGAAGATTCATACCTATCGACAAATATAAGCTGCAAGGCTGATGAAAGCCCATGCCTGAGCTTCGAACTTACTGCCAGCGTTCGAAATGGTCCTCCTTCTTGAGGCGAAGCATAGCCGGGTGTTCTCTTCCAGTTGAAGTCAGCGGTCAGGCCTTTTGGGAGGATTCAAGAGGGACAGGCCACTAGTCCTGTGTTTTCCCTTCCAAACCTGGACGCATCAGCTTCGAACATGTTAATGAGGCTGAGGGGAAGCACCCATGACCTTTGTTTTCAATATGGGAGACGATCCTGATGATTTTATGGCATAACGCAGGAGGAATGATCTCGGTTGCCTCTGACCTTCTTTTCACGGGCATCTACGAAATATACCAACGACAGGCCCTTAGGCCTCGGCATACGATGACGGTCTGGGCTTGAAATCTATTCCGAGAGAGGTCTATTGGCCTGTTAGTTTTATATCCGCTGTCAGAATAAGTGAATGGCGCCTGATAATCTCTCGCAGTTCATATTTACGAGGTAAGATCATAGGGTCGAAAGGTCACTACGGCACCAATATGTCGACCAAGAGTGACAGGATTCAAGTTAGTCTTCCTATTGCTCCAACCAAATAGCAAGATAGCTTATGGACCCGCTAACCGCATGAATTATGAAGACTGCAAAACCTATGCTTGGAACCCGACATCACTACTATATCCGTCGCCGCAAATATATCTCCACGGAACAAGCACAGATTTAGGCTATGCCATGAGCATTGATAAGGTGCTACACATCGAGGAAGCATCACTGCAGAGTACTCTAAGCTCTAGCCTTGGCGTTGGAGAAAGCCATGTTACGACGGAACGCCCGCCGATTATCGGGATCTCGATAGTCATGATGGAGGGGACCATCCAGCGCGCAAAGCTTCGGTGATGGGACCGATTGTAAGGGTTGCTTCTCCCGGCACTTGCGGGCAGGTCGGGTGTGTTTAAACATTTCGGGAGTCCAAGCGAACGGGTCAGCCAAGACGAACCACGGTCTCAGGTAGCCCCGTGCTTGAACCTTTGATCACTGCGCTCTGCCATTTGGACAGCTTGATGTTTATATCCGTAATCGTTGCGAGAGATGGATGATAGGACTTCTGGAGTTTTGCCCGCCCTCAGCTTTTTTCGAGCGATCCTATTCAGACGTCGGCTTTTATTCCGCGTCCGCGAGTTTGTGGTCCGCTGTCCTGCGCTTCGAATCTCAATATCGATTTGGCTAGCCATGTAGCTTCCCGGATCAGAACGGGAAGAGCTTGAGATAGGCTGTAGGTGACAGGGTAATGCTTATGCAAGACTCTAGCAGAGTTCTGGTTGGAAAACCTTGATCCACCGGCAAGTTGGATAGCAGCTTCAGGCGCGATAGAGTCCCAAAAAGGTCAAAGGGGGGGGGGGGGCTCCCGGCCGGAGTGGACACGAATTCGGAATGGAGGGGACGCGAGAGGAAGATGGAGCTTAGCTGGTTTTGACACATTGGCGCCGAGGTTCTCCTCCCCCGCTGGACGTTGAGGAACCTTTGGTTGGGGGTCGTAAATGCCGGGGGATTGCACAGCGACGTGGGGTGGACGAGGAGAAGCAAGGCAGGGGATGTCGAGGAGGAGAGTTTCGAGTACATACGGATACGGGGTTACTATGCATTATACTCTGTACAGATAGCCTATAGATGTAGGAGGTATTAGCATGAAGCACAAAAGTTGGAGACAAAGTCTTTGTCCACCGATGTGAAGATAGAGGGCGATGAGATGGCTCTAGTCGAAGCTGCTGTTGTGCAAAACGGAGGAGCGATGGGAAACATTAAAATGGGGAAGGACAATCCGGCGACTGTGGGGCGGTCGTCGAGAGCACGGAGGCAGGAGCATGGGGCATACCTTACGCAGTAGAGAGCACAGACCTTGTCACCAGCGCTTACCCCACACTTTGCACCTTCCAGGCCAGGTTGAACGGGGAAGGCAGGCACCTCAGACTCAGCGCAGGTGCGTCCGCTGCACTTGCCCGCTGCAACTTCTTACATGAATTGCCATGAATCGGGATTACTGAGGCAAGAAAGTTAAGAGACTTTGAAGTGCAAGCTGCCTAAGGTGACTCCTGCGTACTCTGTACTCCTTCCTGCCTAGGTACCTGTCGTGCCTGCCTCTCCTCCGCATTGAGGTGGATGCCCTCCCAATTGGCATTGGAGCTTGGTTCCCATCCTCAGAACTCGCCCATTCCCACCTCCCACACCCACCCTTTCCCTTTCCCGCCATTTCACCACACCTCACGCACAACAAAACTGGAACAATCCACCGACCTCCCTCTGGCTACTGCAAGCTGCAGCCATCGGGAAATTTCTCAACTGCAAGGTAGCTTGGAGATGGGATGTCACGTTCATGGAAGGGTCTCCAATACGAATGGGTCCCCGAAAATTCGTCGCAATTTCCCGCCAGCCAGAAGGCCCCTTTCGAAATCGAGAGAAAGACAGACCTGGACGAAGGAGAAAAAAAAAAAAAAAAAGAGGGGGGCCCGAGCCTGGTCAAGTGAGCCAGCGGAGTATCGGCCGGATGCTTGCCGGGCGTGCCTCAGAAAAGAGTAACAAATATTTCACGAGAACGACAAGAAGCACGAGGAAACTGACGGATATACCCTTCCGCGGCCCAAGGGCACAGAATGGTCTGACAGGGTTCAGCATGATGGATCGACTGAGCACACACTAATAATGGACGGAAGCATAGCCAGACATGCATGCCACAGGTATGGCTTGTCGTTCTTGGGGAAATCAATCATTAGAGGCAATGTATCTTTTCCCTGTTCTGTTCTTGTCTCCCCCTTCTAACCTTTGATGCTCTTGCGTTGCAGTTGCACCGAGACACCCGACTGCGACTCTTGTGCCCGCTCCTCTCGTCGCTCGCTACCTAGTCTCGACGGGCAGATGAGCCTACGTGGTACGGTGTTAGACCACCAAGTCGCACGCCATGTAACAGTCCTGTGGCTGATTTGTTATTTTATGAACTTATTTTGCCTCTACAGCTTTTGGAGCTTGTTCGGAAGGTTACTACGTTTTACTAATCCCCTCTTCCCTCCGGCAAGCTCCCGTCCTTTCCAGTGCGCGTCTCGGACTCCGCATTTGGAGATATGGAGCTGGGTAGCTTTTGCTGGGAGGTGAGGGTATGTAGCTGCTCAAACCCCAATGTCCATCGTGCAGGGATGGTGGCCGTCGCTCTGGAGTCCCAGCTCCAGATTCAGATTCCTTTGAAGCTCATGACACACAGCAACCGGGGGTGGGGGTTGGGTTGAGCTAGGCCACACAGGAACGCACCGGCCCAGAAGCAGCAAACCGAGCTTTGCCTCGTCTCGCCTCGCCCGATTCTACAACAGCGGGAAGGTGAAGCTGATCAGGGCCGAGAGCCCGGGGGGGTTTCGAAATGGATAAGATCGATCATCTCTTCTCACTACCCTGGCACTCCTGGCACGCCGCACGCCTGACTTCTGCACGTTCAAATACACTACGGACTACTTGGCCTTGGACATACGGCGTCGTGTGGTTTCTCCAAAAAGAGGACGAATGAGTGGTCCGTTGGCGATGTGGCCGTCTCATCTAGGGCTCCCTGTCACGATTGGCCGCTATTGCGAAGCTGCCATTGGCGCGTCTTGAGACCAGCAGTGTCCCCGGTGTGTATTCAGACGCCTAATGGAGAAGCACCCATGATCCCCTCCCGGCGTCAGTGCAGCACAAGGCAGCTTGCACGGACACGTTGACGCAGAGTCCAGGAAGAGCATGGCCTGCTTGTGTGCCAATTAGCCTGGCTAGGTACTCAGATGCAGAAGAGGCAGAGGAATACCGACGTGTGAGTGCAAAGAAGACAAGAGCCAATCAGTTGGTGATGGTCTGGAATGAAGAGAAACAGCCCTGGTAGCCCACCAGCAAGCCGCAACGACAACAAGCAGATTGGAGTAGAAGCTTGTTGAGATGAGACGAGATTCCGATTCTTTTTTTTCTTTTGCTTTAGTTTGCGTCTTGGGATCTCGCCCGCTCACCAATGGATCCACGGTGCAGATGTAGATATAGCCCACTCGACAGCAGATGACGGAAGTGCCTTAGAGTTATCCGTAGGTATCTGCTTGACTGGATTGCTTGACTGGATCATCGGCCTCCAATGGCCCTTGCCGACGAGGGATGATTTCATGGCTGAGCTCCCATTGGCACTGGCTGTGAAGCTCCCCGCCCTGCTTCCCCCACCACATGCAACCATCTTTTAGGGTGGTTGAACAGGGCAGTCCTTGGTTGAAGCGTGGCCCAGCCGCTACTTGACTAGGTCATCCGAGGAAGGTCTCTTGTTGGTGTGACCAAACGCAAAAAGATACTTCACACATGTCAACCTCAAAGTCCCCTTTTTAACAATTGAGTCTACGGATACCTGACTACGGATGCCCAAGGCCACCCAGAGTGAGGTGAGTCTCAGAGTCTCAATGCTGCTGCTCCAAATCATCTCGCTCGCCCAAGAATCCTTCGACTCCTTTCGATTCTCGATGTAGGTAGACATCATACTCGGGTCGGATACCTTGCGCGCTTGTCACCCTTTGCCCTTTTCTTCTGACCTTTTTCTATCTACTTGCTACTGATGCAAGGTCTCTTTGCCGGCTCCGGGATCGAAACCTAGGGATATCCGAACGGAGGTATGGGAGGCAAGACAAGCAAGGTACCTTTGGAGATTGGAGAGATTGGGAAGGACAGCGGGGTTTGGCTGAGGTAAGCTACCTTGTCATTGGTCGGGGATGGTGGGATGGACCTAGGTACCTATGCTCGTAGATACGTAGATGGGTACGTAATAAGCTAAGGTACCTATCTACCTAGGTAAGGTAGGTCAGGTAAGGTAGGTACTGTGTAAGGTGAAGGACCACCGGGAAAGAGCGACCAGTGATAGACGCTACGAGTGCGGCAGTGGCAGCGGCAGTAGCAGCACGAAGCAGGAGCAAGGCACCTTGGTGCTTCTCCAATGCGGAGAGAGAGGAGACAACCCCAGACCCCAGATTCTTGCCTGGATTTCCCCCATTCAACGGAAGCCAATTCTTTCTCTCCTCATCACTCTCTCCACCTTTTCCCACCCATTACCACCACCCGGCCACCACCTCACCACCACCTCACCTAACCTCACTCACGGGCAACCTCACATCACACCTCTCACAAAATACACTTTACTTCCATCACTCGCCAGGCACTTCACTCACACTCGCTCACGCACACGCATACGCATACGGACACACGCGCGCACACTCTCAGACTCAGACTCACACTTTGGACACGCGGGCGCACTACACTCCCTCCCTGCTTCTACCTACCTAACGCATTACCACCGCGGCTTTCTGCCTCCTCATCGCTTCACGTTTCTCAATTCCTCCTCCTCCGCCTCCGCTTTCTTCACACCTACCACCTCACCTACCTTACCCGCCTCCTCCTCACGCAAAGGGCCGCCATCATCAAACTACGTTACCAGCTCCATCTCCAAATCGTCCCCCCATTGGCACACGCGCCGGTCCTGTATACACGACGTATCAAGCATTAATGTTGCATGCGAAAGCATCCCTCCTCCATTAATCTTCCGCGGCACTCCGTTAGATCAGACCTTCCATTGTCGCTACCGCCACCTCAACTTTGAACAGCCGGCACACCAGCCAGCTCTTCTACCGACCGCCTCTCACGCGACATCTTTCGACCTCCAAAATTTCCCCTCCCGATACACGTAGTATCTCCATCTATACATCAGACTTGCCGCCTCGAGTACCGGTACCACAAAGCTTTGTAGTAGCGCCGATCATATCCTCTTACCTATCCAAACATTCAGCATTGTCTCCTTGTCGCACGCGCGCCGCAGACAGCCGGCATCTCCGTGTTTCCCCTCTTCCGCAGCATCCCAAGCTTAAGTTTCTCAGCTTCCAAGCTACCTGCCTTAGCTTACCGAGACAGCTCCAGCCTCTCTTTTCCGCGCTTCTGTCTCTGCACACGTTAACGTCGACGTCGGCGCCTCTCTTTCTCATCGGCTACTGAGAAAGATACGTCGCGGCTCAGCGTTTCCCTTTCTTTCGCTGCTGCTGCCCCGCGCTCTGCCTCTTCAACTTCTGCCGGGCTTCGCTACGACTTTGGTTCGCCCTACGACTCAGTCGCGTCTCTCCTCATCCTTCTCCTCTTTCTCACTGCTGCTCTCCTCTCCCGAGAGTCTCCTCATCCATCAATTCCCCGCCTTTTGCTCTCCCACCCCCTCCCTGCCAATTCACTTCGACCTCGCTGCCATTTTATCCAAGGTTGTTATTGTTTGAGCCGAGTAACTACGCCTTGGTTGTTCACGCTCAATCTTCGCATGCATGCTTGTTTGTGTCCTCAGCCCAACGCACAAACATCCATACACATTGCCGCAACATCCCACCGCACACACATCTCCTTCATACTCAACCTCGCTCTGCCTGTATCCGTTGTGTCACTCGTGGTGCCGTGACACCAGTACTTCCCTTCTTCCCCAAATCTTCTCCTCCTCGCGCCCAATTTTCCTCGCAACTTGCCCACCCTACCTATCACCACTACAGCCGGGACATTCCACTCCGAATCCCAACTCCTCACTTCCCTCGCGCGTCTCCCGCATGCTTTGCGGTACCGGTTGATTCGAGTTGCAAACGCCGGCCGCCACCGCCCGTGGACGCTTACGCCTACCAAGAGGCATCTGAGACTCGCTCACGCCAGGCTTGCATGGAAAGAGACGAAAACGGGGGGCTAGCAGAGGACCGTTGTCAAAACAATTCTCTGTTGCTGCTCTTCGTGAGACCCTGAAAGCTGTCTCTACAACAATCATCTTCATATCGATACACACACCGCACCCCGCAAAGTATCCCTTTCAAGCCCAACTCTGCTTGCTCCGCCTACCTTACCTCCTCCATTTCCCCCACTTTCTCGTGCTGTGTGACCTCGGTGGTCCTTGAGCTATCCTATTACCTAGCCGAGCACACGGTACCCTTCTTTTCCCCCTTTACCTGTCGCTCCTTTGGGTAGCGTTTGCACAAAATGATGCCACTCCAATCCATAGAGGGGCAGCCTCATGGAGGCTCTGGCATAGCTGGGGAAAATGGTGAGGCCCGGCAGCAAAAACCCAAGACGTTACCGTGCAAGTATTGCAGCAAGCGCTTCAGGTAAGTCGGCTTCCCCTCCTCCTTGTTGCAAGGTCCCCCAACTCTCCTCTCTAGATGATTGATTGCCCTACCTTGCCTTGGCTTTGGCTTTCTGGCTGTACCTTCGGCTAGCTTACATTGCTTTTGCATTATAGGCGTGTGGAGCATGTCCAAAGACACGAAAGGACACACACCAAAGAGAAGCCCTTTGCCTGCGGCTGGGCTCGCTGTGGGAAAACGTTCGGACGACGGTGAGTTCTATCAACCTTGCCCCTGGTCATTCGTCATTTCACCCGTCCTGCGGCCTGCCTGAGTACACTTACCTCACCACATCGACACCATCCATATGCTGTCACCTTCCACACACACCACACCACCACCCAGCTTTACTTTGCTTTGATTTGATTTATCCCCAAGACGTTCCCCCGTCCCAAGACCCCGACTTTCGACTCCACCTCTTCCCTGTTCTTGATGCTCAACTCCAACACGGCCGACTCCCCCTCCCAACTCTGACGAAGGAATATGCTTATATGGACATCAGTGATCTCCTTGTCCGCCATGAGAAGCTCGTTCACCTCAACGAGGGCAGCAAGGAGAATAATCGGCCAAGAAAGACTTCATCCAGCACACACAATCCGCCATCTTCCTCCGACAGCCATGTCGAACACGAAATGCTGGGCGTTCAGCGCCCACCTCAGCCCCAGTATCACCAGGAGTCAATAACGGCCGTGGCATCCACCATGGCCCCAGATCCTCGCATGCCAGGCCCGGCCCGTGCCGCTGCTTGCAACCTCGATCTACTTTCTGATGCGGCTCTGGCCAGCGAAGTGAACCCCATGCAGCAACCCATGATGGCTGAGATGGGACGTCCGCCTTCCGATCATACGAGGATCAAGTCCTATGATGAGTCGATGGGGTATCCCGAACGGCCACGGGAGGATCAGAACATGCTGGCACCGGGATATGTTCCTCAGCCCCAAGCAGCACCTTACGACGACTATCACATTTTCCTCGACGACTTTGCGCCCTCTTCGCACTACTTGCCACCTCCGTTCGAGTCTGATCAGCAGATGGGGGGACTGTGGCCCCGTGGCGATATGCATCACCGTGGCCCGTCCAAGCCATCATCGCAGTTTCCGTCACGGTTCCCTTCGGTTCAGCCGGATGGTCGGGAGGGTATCGAAGGTGGTCCAAGGAGCCACGAAGAGTCAATGAGAGCACCCCTTCGTATCTCTGCCGTCGACCACACGGTCATCAAGAACCGACTGGAGGAGTTCTCATCCGTTATTCCAAACGACTTTGTCTTTCCGTCTAGACATACACTCACTCGTTTCCTTGAGGGATACATCAGCGGTTTCCACGAGTATCTCCCGTTCCTGCATATACCCACATTGACGCCCGCCGAGATGGCACCGGAGCTTCTATTGGCCATCTTGGCTGTTGGTGCACAGTACCGATTCGAGAGCCACCGGGGTCATGCGCTGTGGTATGCTGCAAAGGCTGTTGCGCTCGAGCAGATTCGAAGGAGACATAGTCATGAGGTACATGCTCTTTTACCGACGCCCGCTGCGTACAGCCCACACTCGACCCGACCTTCTCCCAGCTCTGGCTTTAGGCATACCTTTGCCTCGGCACAGCAGGATCGCCCGATGACACAGGACACTCATCGCGAGCCGTTGTAAGTGTATTTCCCATCTTGCTCTGCTTTTCAGCTCTAACGTTTTCCCCGCAGCTCGCCAAACACTCCGCAAGCTCGTCTTGAGACCACACAGGCTGTCTTGCTGCTCTTCGCAGTCGGGCTTTGGGGAGCGAAAGCAATCTTGCATGAGGCTCTATCTCTTCAGAGCCACCTTGCTATGCTCGTTCGCGAAGAGGGTCTGATAGCCGAGTCCAGCCCGGCCGTTGCACCGGATTGGGAGACTTGGATTCGACTTGAGGGAGCTACGCGCACCAAGCTCATAGCTTATTGCTTCTTCAACCTGTGCAGTATCGCGTACAACATGCCGCCTCTTATCCTTACTTCGGAGCTTGGCCTATTCTTGCCCTACCCGTCCAGGCTGTGGAGGGCTGAATCGGCATGGCAGTGGCAGGAAGACAGACAAAACTATCCTTCTGTCGAAATCACCGTCCACGACGCCTTCTCCAGAGTCCTAACGACTTCGCCCCAGGGCTTGCCTCCGCACATGTCATCCCTCGGAAACTATGTCCTTATCCACGCATTGCTTCAGCACATTTACCTGCTGAAACAAACTTCATTCGCACTCAGCTCGCCGTTTGGGCCACAGAGGGGATTGAAGCCGGAGGATGTGGAAGAGGTCACTGCTGCACTGAGGATATGGCAGGTGAGCTTCGAACACCGACACCAATTGAGGGCGGCCGACGCGGGGCATGTGGGCAACAGCGACTCGTTCCCGGGTGGTCCGGTAGCGTTCAACTCTACCGCACTCCTGCGCTTGGCATATATCCGTCTATACACCGAGATCCCGCCCAACCGATCCCTCGAGACCAGGGATCACATGCTAGTTGCTTCGTCGTTGAGCAATATGCCCCTCCTTGTCCGTACGTTGAGATTGCATAGAGCCGTGTTCCAGGCCATTCATGCTTTGTCCATGTTGGTCAAGGCCGGCGTCAACTATGTTGCGAGGACCAAGAGCCTGGAATGGAGCATTCAACATTCCTGTAAGTACCTGTTCTTCTCAAACATCGCTTGTTCTAGCTAACCCCGTTTCTTTGTAGTGTGCAACTTCGAATGCGCCATTCTCTTATCTAAATGGCTCCTTACTCTCGCATCGATCGGACCGAATGACCCCCCTGCGACCCCCGAAGAAAAGAATCTCCTACAATCGGTCAGGAGAATGCTGGACGAGACGGAATTTGCTGTGCCCATCGATCCATCCCTGGGTGGGCCTACCACCGGCCAACCTGCCAACAACGAGGTGTCTGCGAACGACAGCACAAGGTTGAGACAGCTAGCTGCAGCGGTCATCAGGCTCTGGGCAGAGACATTCAAGGGCTCGCACATTTTCGACATGGTCAGAGTAATGGGATCAAGCCTGGATGGGTATGCTGATTTGGTCGAGAAGCCCCGCGACAGAACACCCCTGGGACGCATTGCCCATGACCCAAATCTTGGATAAGTGGTCGGACCCCAGATGGCAAAGTATTTGGTTGAGGCTGTTGCACTGCATGGCTTGTACGGTTTTCGACGGAGTAGCGGCATCATTGAGGCTTGATGTCGGTCGACCTCTCAGCGCCAAGACATGATTTCTCCCGATGCAGTTGTTTGCAGGACATGGAGTTTCCCTGTCGCATGCGTGTTTCTCCGCGTTCGAAGACCGCAAGAAGGCGGCGTAGTCGCTGGTCCAGGTCTTTTTGGAATGGAAAGAAGCTCTCAACGGCCAAATGCGTTGAATCGGAATGCAGAAGTGGATGAATCGAGCAATGGCAGCGTGTCATTGGTCTACCCTCAGATGTTGCGGAGGGGGAGAGCGTGCGCGACCCCTGGTCGGGATTTCGGGGCGTCGAACCGGCGGCGGAGTACCGACAGACAGGGACCAGCCAGACTACGCAGGAGACAGAGAGGGCGGGGGATGGGAGGGAAAAAAAACCTTGGCTTGGCGTTTTAATGTTACGTGCCTTGACGCAGTAAGGAAGGTGTCGGAGAAACAGTTGCACTGCGTTTTATTTTTCACCTTTTTTTTTTATTCTTCGCGTGTACATTGTTTGGTGGGCTCATCGGCTCGTCGGATGGGTGGCGCGGCTCGGCCGGTTTGATCTAGCTATTTCCATGTTGTTTCGTCGTATGTTCACCTTAGTCTGGCTTGATCTTTGAGGGGTTATGAAGTACGGATGAGAGATGTGGTTCCTGTCGGGATTGTGTGGCGTTGATAGGTTGCTAGATGAATAATGAAATGTTCATATCTGACGTTGCGTTTGGTGCTTGATCATTTGTGATGGTCCTACTTGGCTGACTACCGTATAAGCCGGGTTGCCTTTCCCGTTCTTCGAAAGTTACTAAATGCATTTGAGATCCTAAAGAGCTTAAGTTTGATTTGCAGTTATTAAGCTGAGAATATGATTTCGGCGAGAACACGAGTAATGTGATTGAGGAAGCGGAGTGGCCTCGAGTGTACGAACACTTCAAGGCTGTAAGACTACAGTTAGGATTAACATAACAAATAATGGACTACTCCGTATCTGCCTTGTTTTTTCCCTCCTCGTAGTGGAAGATCGGTTTGTTTGTTGAACTATAGTAAAACCTCTCTGATTATCGATTTGTCAACGAGGAATAATATTGATGCGATTAGTTTACAAACGAATTCGAATTTGTGTCAGAAGTTAGTTAGAAGTTTACCAAGGACGGGTGTAAACAACAAGAGACAGATTGACTGTAAAGCAAGCGAGGGGACATGGGGGACTCAAAGAGTCTATTTTCTATATGGAGGAGGAATAAGTACTAAGGTAGTAAACTAAAACGGATTCGATATCGAGTTTAGCTTGCTTCTTTTCCGGAAACCAAGAAAGCATCAAAATTCTCAAGTCAAGATCACTTTTGGTAGCCCCCTTTATTTCCTCACGTTGCTGTGGGCCATAATAAGAGAGTACTGAAAGAAAACACCATGTCACCATCATGTCTCGTGGAGTGCCTCTCCGTCGGAAACGGCCCCCAACTTTCCAAACCATGGAGGGTGGGATTCCCTCTAGCAGCGGACGGAACTGAGGTTGTCGTTGAAGTTGGAGGGGACGGTGTTCTGGAGACCTCTGGTGGTCCAGGAGGCGCCGCCGCAGCTGCCGTCGCTAGTAGATTGAAGAAATTGTGTCAGAAGATATTCTTGACGATGTTGCTTGATGTATACAGAGCAAATGAATGTTTCATCTTCTCCATTCTTGGAAGAAGGGAATAAAGTAGACGGTAGTAACTCACGTGAAGAAGGTGCAGGTGGCGCTGCCGGTGTCAACGGAGCTGACGACGTCGTTCATGTTTCCGGGGAAGTTGGCTTAGAATGACATTTGTTAGCTTCACGTTTTGAGGGCGGAGAGAAATGAAGCCTGAAGGCTGGAGAAGTCTGAGGGATGAATCCGAGGGTGTGAGGAACGTACTGCAGCCGCCGACGTCCATGGTGACGCAGTTGCCGAGGGTCTGGTCCTTGCAGATGCGGATGGTGGCGGCGTTGGTGAGGCCGAGGAGGGCGATGGCCATAACGGTGAAGGACTTCATTTTGAGGATTGGGGGGGTTTTGGGACTGGTACTTCGAGTAGATTGGGAAGATTGTGAAGATGATATGTAGTGTAGAGTGTTGTGATGAGGTGAGAAGCTGATGCTGATGGAAGGGGAGTTGGGATGGGTGGAGGGTTTTATAGTTGAATCTGTATCGTCATTCTTCTCATAATTTCTAGACTGTGATGTATTGTAGGACTGGGATTTCGACCAAAGTACCCGACTTTGCTGCCTCTAGATGTCAAGCCGTAGGTGAATACTTCGCGGGACTAGGACCTCAAACCAAAAGTGCCCGCTTTCGTTGTCTCTGTGTCATCCTTCGACTCCTCCCCTCCTAAAGTTAAGACGGGAATACGTTGTGAAACTAGAATCTTGGACCAAAGTATCCAAGTTCGCGTCTCTGCCTATCAACAATGTCCTACGTTGGCTCGCCACCTTGATTGTTTTTTGAGGTAGCTTAACAGCCCATCTCGTGAATCTGAACATCGAAGGTCTTTTCGATGCCCTCTTGCCGGGGGATTGAGGATTGTCAGATAGGGTTCATGGTAGCCTTGACCAGGGAACCTCTATACAGCCAATCACGATACCGAAAGCCTTGGATGTTGCCATCCGGGCGATCCTATTGCAACATCGGAAGAGACTTAGGGAGCCACTGCTAGGGCAGTCCCATACCGCCAAGTATGATGCCTAGAGGCTAGGATATTGGGATGATTCTCTTACATCAGAAAGGTCTTGGATATCACTCTCCGGATGATCATATTGCAACGTCGGAAGTGACTCGAGGGAGCCGCGGCTGGAACACGCCTAGAGCATTGATGATGGCACCTAGAGCCGTGGGTATAGAGATCATCCTCTTGCAACATGAAAAGGAATTAGGGAAGCCTTAGCGGGGACACTCCTATACCACCAATGAGGAGGCCCAGAGATCTCAAGTCTCGCCTCTTAGACGATTCTCTTGCCAATTTGGGAGAGACTATCGTGAGACCTGGTACACAGCCCCGAGCTAGAAGTCAGCATGGGTGCGTCGACTGCATTCTGAGTAGCAAAATGGCACTGTCTCGATACATGAGATATCTTCGTAAGATGTACGGGACTTTGGTTGAAGGATCCATTAATACACTTACTTCATTTTGCTGGACGTGTCGGCACCATTGAGATTGATACTCTTTCAGGTGGACAACTCTATAAACCATGCCGGTTCAAACCGTTAGGAAGGCTGGGAGCACGGAACTCGGCTGCTCCTTCATGGGGCGGTGTGAGATTTCTGTCAGCAGAGTACTGCGGCTCCTTTACTTCTCCATACTCTTTAAGATTAAGCTCTACTACGGTTAGAATCCTTCGCTTTCTATTACCGAGCGGAGACTTTCTAGCGACGTTGAGCGGCTAGGTTGATTGTGAGGCTAGGATATTTAAACGGCATGGCCGTGCGGGTGTGGCCTGGCGGTCGATCTCTGCTATGTCCACAAAACCGCATATGGCGGGGCAGTCGGACTATACTTTGTGGTTTTTGGGACTTTGGATTCGGATCGACATTTAACTCTACTTCAGCCTGCAGCCGGGCGGCCAGGGCCCTATGCCGGTCTAGACTAGTCGGCTTACTTGTCTCATCTTACTGTTGCCTCGAGTTGTGTGTGTGAGGTCCAGTTTGTATGGATCGGCAGACTAGGCTTCCGGACTCAGTCGCGTAAGGCAGCGACTTGTGGCAGCGTGTCTGGCTGTGATTGAGCAACGTAGATTCACTTCTTGAAATGGATCTCAGGGAACAAAAATTTCGTCACAATGAATGCAGTCACCATCAATCGAGACTCAACCCTCGCGCAAGAGTACTAGCGGCAGCAGGAGATGTTGAGGGTTACGAGAACTGAGATCAAGAGATGCGTCTTCATCCTAGAGAGACTACGCTAAACAAGGAGGCGACATTGTGTTAGGGGGATTGGACGGCAGAGACGAAAAAGCTACCGACGATGACAGACAAAGTACTCCAACCTAAGCACTAGTCCTGAGACAGAACGAATCCTATTTTCCAGTCCAGGCCTTGGTGAGAAGCTCTTCGATGCCTATGGGGCGGATATCTGGGTACTTTCCGTTCAGGCGGTTACCCTGGGGCACCAGGATCCTGCCCTCGACGCTCATCAACCCGAAGAGAGCGATCATCGCCTGCGTCTCCTCCATTGACGCCGGTCCTGCGCCGTAGCCAGCCGACCAGACGGTTGCCTGGCCGTTTCTCAACTTCTCTTCTCCGTCATAGACGACGTCAAACTTGGCTCCTGGCAAGAAAGTAGACCATGTCAGTGCTACGTGACCCTTATAGCACTTTGCTTCGAAGATTCAAGACCGTACGTACCCGTGAGTTTCTCCGCGATTCCCAGAATCTCGTTGAACGTGGTGTCTGAGCCGCTGATGATGCTAATTTCGGGCCAGTCGGTGTCGTCGAGCATGCGAACGACGAAGCGGGCCACGTCTACCGAGTAGGTCAGGGTCATGAGCTCATTGCCTGTTCCGGGGATCGCGGCGCGGCGGTTCGCGATGTCGACGCCCCAGGTGTGAGGGGCGAGGTTGCTTGGGGTGTGCGGCATGCCAAAATAGTCCATGAACCACCCGTTGATGACGCGGGTGTACGTGAGGCCAGTCTTTTTGAGGGCGGCGATTGCGTCCAGCCAGGCACCGAACACCGCCGCGTTCGTGTCGCTGGTTAGGTGTCAGTGACTCCACGGCAACTAAGACAGGAAGGTGTCTCGGGATGGAAGGAATCTGCCTACTCTGGAGAGACCCAAACTGAGAACTCGCTGGGTACGAATCGATGGGTCGGCTTGGCCTTGTCGGCCGCGGCGATGAGATTGAGCTGTGACTGAGCGGCCTCCGGGCCCACGAAACCAATCGTGGAGATGACTGTCTCGACATTGTGCCTCTCGAGCAGCAGGGATAGCGCCTCGATGTTGCCGTAGTCAGCAAGCACAATCTTTGCGCCACCTGAGGCGAGTGTGGTAGGAGCCTAGAGGGCCTGGTCAGAAGGGGTTCAAGCGTGTTCGCATGTGGCTGCGGCTAGAGCATTCACCTTTCGCCTAAGCAGGATCAACTCGTGCTTCTTGCTGAGCTGTAATTGTTCAACGATGGTCTTACCGACACCGCCCGTGCCTCCGGCGACTGCGACTACTACCATGATTGGGTGTGATGGTAGTTTAAGAGTTGTAGGAATTGGGTTGTGTGTTACTGAAGTTGTCAAGTACCATGGATAACAGCTGGATCCTTCAGCACAAGACCGGATCCAACACGGTTGTACTTATAGTCGACCATGAAAACATAAAGCAATCTTGGAGTCTCGGAGGCCTTCGCAGAAACCCGCCCCTGTGCGGATTTTTCGAGAATGCATTGACTTCAGGCTTAGGGGCAGCGGATCTCAAGTCAAGACACATGTGGCAAGTAATCGGCTGGTTAAAGATGTCTGTCTTTATCGAAAGAGGGAGCTCCGGAAGAAGCCGTCGTGTGGTGCAGAGAGTGCCATTTCCAACATCGCGGCAGACTTCCATGTTGCGGACGTCAGGCGCAATGACATGTTCAGCTGGCGGAGTTTTGCCCCGAGGGTGACTCGTGTGTGTGAGCTTGGTATTTAAAGTTGTCGGAATTCGGGCTCCGCGGCCCCCTTGACGATAGAATGGCTGTCTTTCAACGAATTGCAACGGTCTTGTATCTTGTGCTGCCAAGCCTTGTTTGAACAACATCCTCTGCACAGTGTCATCAACATCTCCTGCTGGATCTCGTTGTACGAGTCGCGTAGCATCATTCTACTTCGCTCGGATGACTAGAATCACATACTATCATTCCCTTGGAGGAAACAGACGACTGCGTAGATGATGGCGGTCTCAAGGCATTCTCACGACAAGTTCGATATACCAGCAGAATATCAATCAGGGTATGCAAGGGTGATGAACCAAGTCCCTCCTCATGGGGGTGGCATTTCATCCCGACATTCACGGCATCTCACTCGTAAATTTTGAGAATGAGATTGAGATATGCTTTGGTCATGCGAACTTCATGCAAGCCCGGTGCGGAACAAGCCTGAAAGTGCCGTGGTTTCGTTGTTGTGATGGTTGGAGTTCACGCTTAAACTCCGTTTAGTGAGTCAGCGAAAGATTTCACAGTCAAGAAGAGTACTCTCAGTGGGTAGAGGTAGTAGCGGACAATGAAATCTGGTGTGGGCGCTACCGGGCCATTCGAAGAACAGGAAGCCAGTCGGCCCTTTGATTCTATCTGGACGGCAGACGTTCGAGGTCCGGTCCCGCCTCCGCGGAATGCGCGCGGCGCTGATAGACGATAAGCCCACGTGCAAGGTCATGTGATGGCGCGTTCAGCCTGCGTCTGGGTCCCGGCGCGTCCGTCGTCGTGCCCCCCGCGGTCGCCCACTCGATGACGCACGACACCTTTCTGGCTTTTGATACTGAATTCCTGGTTCTGAGACCCAATCATTTCGCATGCACACCACGGCTAGCTGCAGAGCGATCCGACCTCAAAAATTATCCATCGACTTATTGGGATACAATTGAGGAGAAGTATTTTAAAATCATGCCAGCCCGTAAGCGTGCTGCGTCGCCGGCTGCTGAGGATGAGCCCCGGCGGCGGTCTCGGCGCGTCTCAAGCACTCCCAAGAAGAGCATGTATTTCGAGAGTGACGACGACGATGATGACTTTGATGGAGATGCGAAGGTCGAGGTTGACAGTGATGAGGTGCAGAGCGAAGGTGATGATGAAGAAGAGGAGGAGGAGCAACCCAAGAAGCGTGGACGTGGACGGCCAAAGGGTTCAGTCGCTAAACCTAAAGCTAAGCCACAGCCCGCGCCCAGCAAATCAAAAGCAGTGAAGAGGCAGAAGATTGAGAAGGTTGAGGATGAGTATCAGGATGACCAACCTGAGGAAGATGAGGACGAAGAGGAAGATGACGAGGAAGATTACGAGAGTAGGGTCACTATCATTCCGCATGAGAAGCTTCGAGGGCTCGATGGACAGGACTACTCCGACGACACCGTTCACAAGAACACTTTATTGTTCTTGAAGGACCTCAAAGCTCACAACCAGAGATCTTGGCTCAAGAGTAGGCCCCACAAGGAAATCCTCTTGGTATTCTACGAATACTGATTTAGTCCAGGCCACGACGGCGAGTATAGACGCTCCCTAAAAGACTGGAACACCTTTGTCGAGACTATCACACCAAAGATCACCGAAGTGGATTTCACCATCCCAGAATTACCGGCCAAGGACCTCGTCTTTCGCATCCACCGCGATATTCGCTTCAGCAAGGACCCGACTCCTTACAAGGTACCTTGACATTCCATATTGCCATCAGGTTGCTTGAAACTCCGTGGGAGAATGACACTAATGGTCAATAACTCACAGGCTCACTTCTCTGCGGCATGGTCTAGAACGGGTAAGAAGGGACCTTACGCCTGTTATTACATCCATCTTCAGCCAGGCTCTTGCTTTGTGGGCGGCGGCTTATGGTGTCCTGAGGCGTCGCACTTGCAGAAGTTGAGGGAGAGTATTGATGAGCGGCCGCGTCGGTGGCGTAGGGTCTTGAATGATGAGAGGTTCAAGAGGACTTTTTTGCCCAAATCGTTGCAGAAGGGGGGCGAGGAAGCGGCTTTGAAGGGATTTACTGAGACGAATAAGGGGAATGCGCTAAAGACTAAGCCCAAGGTATGCCTATGTCGGATTTTTTGTCCTGCAATCTATTAAGGGCGAACAGAAGACCACGGTCATTGTGGATCGTTACTAATCACGCTTTCGTAGGGCTACTTGGTCGATCACCGCGACATCGAGCTATTGAAGTTACGCAACTTCACGATTAGCAAGAAGGTTGATGACAAGGTTTTTACCGAGAACGATGCCCAAGAGCAGATTTGTGAGATCATTGCCGCGATGCACCCATTCGTAAGTAACCCTTTGCCGACTGGTTGTCGTTTGGATGATGGATGTGCTGACACATGATGTAGATCACCTTCTTGAACAGCATTGTCATGCCGGACTTCAATGCAGACGACGACGATGATGATAGCGACGAAGATGAAGAGAACGAGAATGGCGACGCGAATGACGATGCTCAAGAAAACGGCGATGCAGAGGAGACAGGGGATGAAGACGAGGAAGGAGGTAAGGACTGGAGCACGCACAAGTTCTGATACTTGGTTGGGATAGAACACCCTCTCTTCCTTCTGGCACACCACACCTACTCGAAGGATATTGCTATTGTTCAAGCTGGCGCGAAGCCATTGATTGGAAGCAAAGACAGCCCGGTGGGAACGAGTTCTAGCTGGATGATGAGCGATGATGGCATTTCGTGTTGATAGTTAAGCACGTGCGTAAGTGCTTGTAGGATATGAAACAGGCGCAGGACACTCCTGTGCGGTCTTTGCTGGCGTCGACTACAACAAGAAGGATTGCACTGATTGTGATACTCCCTTGTTCGTCCTATAGTTTCTACAACCTTTGATCGTGAAGTCTACTCAAGTGCTCAGCCCGACTTGGAAGATCCGTTCATCCTACGCCAACAAAGGGGGACGGTATCCCTTTGTTGCCTGAAGTACAACCATCCATCAGAAAACCTGATGAAAGGATATATCCTCGGAATCTGTTGCTGGCATGTGTCGGGGAACGGCTAATGATTGTTTGACACACAGCTTTCGAGGTTTCAAGTCTTCAACGTTTCAATCTAACAGCATCTCTGAGTATGCATTGAGTCTTTCACGCTATGTAGGGAGCACAATAAGCCATCGGCTTAGATCTAGAGAGTCGTAAAGACTTGGCCAAGCTTCTGGTCCCTTAGTATATGGCTTCAGAGGGTCCTCGGCCGAGACTACTTAACCAGAGGGATCGAAGCCACCAGACAGAATCTACTTATCCTCATCAACAACATCAAATGATTTCATTCGCACATTGTTAAACTCACCGAGCCATTTTCTGACCCGCCACTCTGGTGTTTCATTTCGACTACAGCTACCAACTTTCCTCAAACTTTTCATCATCATGACTATGGGTGCTGTCAACGCTTTGGTCGACTTTTGCAAGTGGGCTACTGCCAAGCAGCCAGACGGCTCCAACCGTCAGTACAAGTATGGACATTGCCACAACACAAGATGCCATTAGTCCATGGACTACAGCAAGGACAAGTGCCACTGCTTCGACCCTGTTGAGGAGGCCCCGAAGGATTATCGCTGAGAAGGATGCTGGTGAGGATGCAGAGAAGTAGACAGTAAGTTTGGAAGACAGGTACTGCCGAATCAAGATTTTGTGTTTCTTTACTTGACTATCAGTTTTGCATTGGTATGGAGTTGCACCAAAAAGTCTGCGATTGAAAATGTCCTAGATAAATGAACAAAGATGTCATTGCTTCATAGCTAAGTTGAGGTACGCCGTGAGTTAAGTGAGCCTGAACGAACAATCGGACCCATCTTTCGAGACTAGTGCCTAAACATTTCTCGCAAGACCGATTATCATAGGATACTGCCTGACTCGATCCCGTTCAACCCGGGAAGCAATACCTTTGGACTGCACTCGCAGGCCGCGATAGCCAGGTTCTTGTTGGTAACTTGTGCCATGCTTGGACTCGGAGCTTCAACCCATTGAACAGTGACCAAAATTCCAATCAAGTTCTAGAACAGCTTTGAGAAGCCAGAAGCAACAGTTGAGAGCTCCCAAAAAGAACGGAAAACGCGTGAAATGCATTTCTTCTTTCCAATCATTAGACGTCCACGAGGTTCAAAGCATCTTTGGAGAATGTAGGATCACATGACATGTTGTTTCGGCCAGTCACTACGATTGGCCAAGCCGGATCACGGCGCCGAGCAGTGCCGGTGGTCCTCAGGGGAGTGATGACTCCACAGGGTTGAAGCTGGTTGGCCCAGGAGAAGTGGCTCGTGCTTCCAGCGTTTGTGCGAGCTTTGTTTCGTCAGATGTGCTGACGGGACATCCCAAAGCTCACTGTTCAGAGAGGTCCGGCCAGCAGTACCTTAGGCAAGGTACCTTGAACTCGGGTCATCTTCTCCAACCATGTGCCTTGCCAGACCCAAACTTTGATGGGGAAGACTTGAGAAGCCGAGTGAAAACTCTTCAATGCTTGAGTGAATTTGTTTTTTCTCCTTTGTTTACCAGCATGCTGCATAATACCTGTGTTCAAGTCCAGTTTTCAGGGTCGGTTCCACGGGCTCTTGAGTGAAACTACGTCAGCGGGGCCCAGCACACCTAAGGTAGGTAGGCTCACGCGCACCCGAAGAGTACGTACCGGAGACACCCCGCGGAGCTAAGCTTGGAGGGCGCCCTCCCTGCCCCACCAAGACTGCCTCGTCCGTCCCTCATTCACTCACTTCATGCACATTCCATCCCGAGCCCGACCCGGAGCCCGATCTTGACGACGGACTACATATCTATCATTTGCATCGTTTTCGACAATCTGAACAGCCTCACTAGCGAAGACCGACTACCTTAGCTCCAGGCTCCCGCATCTGCCACCCTCATCCTTATATCCTCAGGCGGACACTCCTCCGCTAAGTAGCGGCGACCTCACCTCTCGACCCCTCCTCCGGCCAGCCACCTGGGTTGAGCCGCAACACCACAGCTACATACCAGTCCTTGCTTGCTTAAGGACTACTGCCCTTTGAACTCAAGATACCTCACTGCATTGTACGCCGGGCATCATGTTCTCTCAGGTACGCGCCCCCCCTCATCTCTAGCTCTCCGCAATATCGGGTGGTTACAGCCGCACGGGGGCTTTCGGTGAGGCTAGATGGATTGATAGTGGATGCTCAAGAGCTACGTTGTCTTGTGATGATGCCTATTCAAAACCCTCCGAAAGCTTCATGTAGCCTCAAAAGAGCTATGTTACCTGTAGAGTACACAGGAACTGACACCAAGGACAGAAGAAACCATATTCCGCCGTTACGGTGAGCGTTGAGACGCTGACCGCCGAGACATACGATGAAGATGACATGAGTGGCATCCCGGACCTTGTGGAAGTCATCAAGCTGCAAGCTTCGGGCCCCGTAGAAGCTGCCCGCGCCATTCGCAAGAAGCTCAAGTACGGCAACGTCCATCGCCAGCTCAGAGCTTTGACCATCCTGGACGGCTTGATCCAAAACGCTGGCCCACGTTTCCAACGAGCTTTCGCCGACGAGCCCCTGTTGGAACGACTGAGGGTCTGCGGAACCTCTGATCTCTCTGATCCCGACGTCAGAAAGAAGTGTACCGAGTTGTTCCGCAGCTGGGCTCAGTACAAGAGCACGCCAGGCTTGGAGCGTATTGCGAAACTGCACCAGGTACGGCCGACGTTCTTACTCGCCGATGCCAACTAATTTCTTTTAGGAACTACCCAAGCGCAAGGTTGCTGTGACTCAGGAGCGATCCAAAGCTGTGCGGGAGACTGAGAATCCTTTCGGGGAAGAGGAAGAGGACAAGCCTCCTTCGCCCACCACCCGTGCGGGCGAGTCATCCAGGCCTCAGCAAACGCCGTACCTGCCTTATGGCAACACATCCAGTGTCACCAACTCCTTGAGCCACTCCAAATCCTCTTCCCATTCTGGCGGCTCCTTCTTCGGGTCGTCAAAGGATAAGAAGAAGAAGGACAAGGACAAGAAGAGCAAGCGCAAACCCTTCAACCTGGAACTGGAAAAGGACGCAATGAAGAGCGCGATTGCTGAAAGTTCCATCGCCACAACCAACCTCACCAACCACCTGCAGAGCATCAACCGTGAGAGAGAACGGATCTCTGATAACGCCCAGGCTGTACAGCAATTCGAAAGCTGCAAACAGCTTAGACGAAAGATCCTTCGTTATGTAAGTCACGTTCGCGCCTCGCCGCCTGATGCTTTTCTCTGACTAGTTGCCACAGATCCACCACATTGAATCCGAAGAGTGGCTCGGCAGTCTCCTTCGCGCCAACGACGAGCTTGTCACGGCGCTCATGACGTTCGAGCAGCTCGACCGCTCGATCGACGCCGACAGTGACTCCGACGATGAACTTGCCGAGCAAGCTCACATGTACCGAAGTAAGCGTCCACGTATTCCTATCGATTCTCAAGAGCTCTACTAATAAATTTACAGTGGTGACGGAAAAGGCCAAGCAATCCATGTCTCCGCCTCCCCCTGATGTTTCTGGTCTGAGCATCGGCAACACTCCGTCCTCCCGTCCGCCTGCTCCACCCCGACCGGTCCCGATGGCGAGGCGTTCCCCGCCCGCACCGGCTCCGGCGAAGCCCCCGAGACCTCCTGTCCAGAAGGTTGTTGAGCCTGACTCGGAGGAGGAGGAAGACGACGATGACCCTTTTGCCGACAAGAACGCCCTGGAGACGCCCGCGACCGAAAGAGCAGAGCCGAGATGGTGATACCAAACCGTCATAACTATTACCCATCATACTTTTCTATCTTCTTTGTGCTTTCCCCCCTCTCAGTCAAGGATATCCTGTGATGACGAGGGATTGAATAAGTGGTCGAGAGACTGCATCAGGTGCAAGTTGAAAACCTCAAGTCATCTAGCAAAGCGCCCCGTTTAGACATTTTCATTGATGAATGATTCAAGAGCATACATATCTACTATTTCGGTGCTATTAATAATGCGCACTACTATAGAGTACATAACGTTCCCCTTTCCAAACATCCGAAATCGGTCACCGACTTCCCGCCGTTGGTACCGACTCGGCCTCAACTCCCCTTTGGGAACAGCGCCCGGGCCCCCAACGTCCCCGCCGAGCGCCATTCCGGGAGCTATCGCCCGACGTGCCCCCGCCGGAGATGCCACGATCCCGCAATCCCCTCGGCGGCATGTGTTTAATTTTTGCATCCTGTCAAAGCTCCCCCTCGCGGTAGAGCTCTCTTCGATGTCCAATGGGATCCTCTCTCGCGGGGCACGGGTTTCCTCTCACAAGCTCGGCCGAAGCTCTTGCTACTACATCTCGTGGATAAGACGCAAAACAAAGTTGTGACCCCGCGGTTCGATGTGACGTAAAATCAGGGCCCCGACGTTGCACCGCAGTGGGATTTATTGAATCCCTTTCGATTATCGATAAGCTCGGGCTACATTTTGGTAACGTCTTCCGCGACTCGCGCACCGGCATGTGGAGCGGAGGGCCCGATGGTAACGCGTGCGGATGGTGCATCGAAAGTGAGATGTGACATGGAATAAGATGAGAAGGTTCCCTTTTCGGGAGGGGGCCTGTAAGAAGAATTCCCGTGAGGCCATCACGACTCGCGAGGGATGTTCCTGCATGCCATTTACAAGGATGGCGGAGAGAATATTGGCAGTGATTCGAATCCCGCACGCTCAACCCGTCATCGCCGACCCGGGGGCAGCAAGAATGACCGTCAGACATCCTCCGTCTAAGACATCTATATGAGCGAGCTCTCCTCCTCCAATGCCATGATCTTGTCTCTTCAGCCTCCAGCAAGCGTAGGCCACTCACTCATTCCCTCCCCGAAAGTCCGCCAAGATGCTCGCCCTCCTCGCCCTGGCCGTGGCCATGGTCACCGGCGCCCACGCCGCCGCCAACACAACCACCACGCTCACCCCTGTCCTGCGGCCCGAGTGCAACAAGACGGACCCGGCCAACCTTGTTCCGTCCAACGACATCACTCTCAACTACGGCGCCGCCGACGACGTGAGCCTCGTCAGCGTCGTCCTGGCCATGAAGTACCCCTCGGTCGTCCTCGAGGAGGTCGCGGCCATTGCGAGCGTCGAGTGCGCTGAGGACGCGAGCATCACCGTCACCTTCAACGCCACGGCCGCCTTTGAGCAGACGTCTCAGCAGTGGCAGGCGCTCGACGACTTTGTCATGGTCACGAATCACCTGGGTAACTGCGATGCCGAGAACGAGCGCGGCTTCTTCTTGGTTGACACCGTTACCTGGGACGCCGAGACTCTTCAGGTTGTTGCGAACGCTCACAAGAGCGACGTTGCCAACACGGCTAGTAAGTCTTTGTCTCACGCCTTACACAAAGACATGTGCTAACCACCTTGACCAGCATCTACGGAGATTTCCTTCTCCAACGTCCCTGTTCAGAACCCCGCCAGCAAGCGTGACATCAAGTGGGACGACGGCGGCGTTCACATCACGAACACCCTCGCCCTCCCCGCCGACACGAACCTCTTCACCTACGACCCGTACCTCTCCGTCACCGCCGACGAGGCCTCCCTGACGTCCAACATGACCTTCTCCGGCACACTCAAGTACAGCATCATCCCCCTCAAGGTTGAGCAACTCGCCCTCGACATTGACACCACCTTTGACGCGGTCCTCGGCCTCACCGTCGACGTTAAGGCGCCGTACTCTGGTAACTTTACCTACGACCCCGAAGACCTGGGCTACGTAAGTGATCACTTCTCAAACTTGCCGCATTACACCGACTAACATCCGAATCCCAGAACTTCGTCGACATCCCCGGCATCATCAAACTCGGCCCCGCAATCGGCTTCGCCATCGGCGTCGAACTCGAAGCCGACGCCAAAGCATCCATTACCACGGACCTAGGCATCTCCTTCCCCGACGCGAAACTCCACCTCGACCTCGTCGACGCCGCATCCTCTTCCGCCACGGGCTGGGACCCTGTCTGGACCGCGCGCGCCAACATTTCCGAAAAGGCCGCCGTCGGCGTGAACCCCTACGTCGACCTGGGTGTCGAGCTCGTGTTTGAGATCCTCGGCGGCGCCATCGATCTCAGCTCGGGGGTAACGTCGCGCTCTAAGCTGGTGAATGACTTTGTGCTGTCTGCGAGCCAGGGGGTGAATGGGACGGGTATCAGTGTTGGTCAGAATAATACGGGTTGTGAGGAGGGGCTTTCGGTGAAGAGTGATTTCTTTTTTAGCGTTGTTGGGTTTGCGACGCAGTGGTGGTCGCAGGAGCTTTACAGTGTTGAGGTGCCTGTTGCGGATGAGTGTTATACTTGGTTGTGAGGTGTGGTTTATGAAGTTCGATGATGCGGCTGCCAAGGTCAATGGGATCGGAATGATCAATATGGTGATGAGATGAATATTCTGAAAATCCCACATGATGTCGTTATATGAGAAACGAAATTGACAAGTCTTCAAGCGTCAACCTAGAACGAATGCTTGTGTACCTGGAAAGACACCGAGTTGGCTTGTCTAGGGTACTACGACCGATTGCAGATGATGGTTGATCTCAGGTAATTTGGACCTTGTCTGCTGCCGATCATTCCATCTGGAGACGAAAGGAACCAATCTTTCTACCGAGTGTTCTTTGTTCGAGTTCAGTTCAGCCCTGTCGATTGCCTCGAAGAGAGAAAGGATATGCCGAGCAACCCTGCAGGCGATGTTCAATCTCTGCGGCTCTATCTTTGAGAAGATTGAGAAACTTCCCTTGGCTATATGGCCTGAAAGAAGCAAGTCACTTGTGCTAATCATCTATTACCTACGACCGAATCTGGTTTGTCGATTCAGTCATATGACGCTTGATAGGAGACTCAAATCTGCCGTCCTTTCGGAGCAGCCGATTAAGTTTACGATATAGAAGCCCACGAATGGTGAGAAAGGGATTGGCAGTCTTCGAGAGCCGGCATCCGTGTGTACAATCTAGGACAAGACTTCAAGAGGAGGCTCCGAGAAACAAAGACATATATCTCAATCTAGAGATAGCTAGGTGCTTTTATGGCCAGTAGCCAGATTTTCCCGGAAGATGTCTCAAGCTACATGCTAGTAGTCTCTTCTTCAAGGGAGTGAATCATACGTACTTCAGTCAGCGATGCATTTGAGGAAGGATCGCATGCGAGATAGCCCTGTGTACGAAACCGTCCTTGAGAATGTTCTCCTGAGTCCTTTCGTGGCCTTTCCATGTCGGTGCTCTCGCTATCAGACTAAAAACTTACTTTTATCAGCACTCACTCATTCATCGAAGCCAAGGTATCAAACCCCAAAAGGATCTTGAAATTTCATCGTTTTCACAGATGATACGAAGCCGCGGCACATTCCTGCCCAACGACTAGTCTTCTTCTCATGACAATGGACTTGTCCATCACAACACTTCCTGGAGAGCCTCCTGGACCGCCTCGGTCCGCCATCACCCTTGGCATTAGGGGATAAAGCCGAGGCACTAAGAAAGGACGAGTATGGAGGGTTGGTGAGGAGTAGGAGTATGGCGGCGGCACATCATGGCTCACGCTGTCTTCACTCTTCATCCAAGGCTCACCAGGTCTAAATGCCATACTTGTGAAGAATCCGTCCCCTAAGATCGAGCTCGTAGGGAATGATACGCGGTTTCGAGGTAGTTTTCGCTTATTGAGACCCACCACTCAGTCATATTCTGTCACTCGACGTGGCAGACGCAGTGAAGGATATCCAGCTTGCGACAAGATCATACACCACGAGACCACTTTCGAAACTGTGCCCAGTGATGCCTCATCAAGATGAAGCCCTCTAGTGAGTCGCTCCCCAATTCGTGAAATGCATGCCTCTCGGCGTGCGCCCTGACAAGCCGCTCTAGGCAGAACATGACACGGCCCGATACCCATGTAAGCTACTCTGCCTTTTCTCCAGGGACTCCTTTGCCCTTGTCTCCGGATATGCGGTGCGGTATATCGTCATGAGATCATGAAAACCATTCTCAATATACGTACCGTATCTGATATAGCCCAACGGAGCAACTCTTCCACACTTCGTAGCCTTTTCGAGTGGACTGAGTGACGTGTATGTTGTTTCATGGGTGCATATATACGTCCACTGCATGTACTGTTGATCCATGCACTTTGTTTGGAGCGCGAATACATGTAGCGTTCGCGAAAGCTCCTCATCGCTGGATTTCTTACCGCTATTCATGGCGGGAGGCATAGAATATTGGTGACTTACACGGTGAATGCACCCATCTTGCATTACGCTCTGCTACCTGGATACCACGACAAGCTGGGTTCTAGCATGAAGGCAGCTACCTTGACAAGACTACATAACCAGGTCAACTCCGGATACAGCGCCTGAAGTGTACATCTATTTACCCCAATTCTGCTTGAGCAAACCGGCGGTGAGGAAGGCCTCGTTTATCCGCCGCGTTTAGCCTAAAACACGCGTGCTCCCGATCTGGCATCTACCGGTGAAGAAATGCTGCACGCGACCCCCTTGCCCATATGGTCTTTCTGATCTACTGGAGGTTGATTCGAGACAACATCTCCTTCAGACCTGTCACCCATGTTAAGGAACCGAATCCCTGGGAAAGATGGGGTTGGTTGAAATACCACCACTTCAGCCATGATGGATGGCACTGCCACCCGGAGTGGCTACGCCATAGGTGCGGTACTATTCCTCTGACACAATATGATGTTCTCTGGGGTGGGAAGAATCTTCACCAGTTGCTCCGTACAATGGCAATAGCCATGCCAGTGCAACGTGCTTGAGGAATATGGGGTGCATGTCCCCTTGCTATATAATATCAGCTCTACGAACAAAGTCGATGTGGCTTTCATGATCACTTGGTGTGTGTTTAACACAATTCAAGTTCAGGACATCATCCCTTCGGATTCCATAACTATGCTCTTGCTTAAAATCCAAGTCGCGAATACCCCATCCTAGTACAAATTCGGGTATTAACCAGTCAAGGATAGCAATAAAGAAGTTTTCTCTTCTCTCAAAGAACCGTGGAGGCACTTGACCCGAAGTCCCGGGCCCGAAATTGCTGAGAGAAAGTCACCTGGCACACAAATTCTCACCGAGTACCATCATCCCTGGCACCTCGGTCAGCCACAAGCGATGCTCAGCGGAAGGATTTCCCAACAGAGTCACATCCCGCTCTCTTCAACCTTGGCTAATCAGTCTGACTTGCCAGAACACCGGACCGAATAACGGCTGAACAAAGTCGCGCATCCTCCACCCTCGAACAAGTCGTTACGCGTGGCTGTCTCGATCCGTGAAGGAGCGCCTTGTGACTGCTGATCCGAAGCCAGAATCCGCAGTTCGTAATAAACGGAAACCAGGAAGAACTTGAACGGCCTGTCCAACAGTGTCCGAGAACCCACGTCGGCCGTACGGCCCCTCTCTCGCTGAAATATCATCCCGGTTTCCTCCCTGTCATTTACGGACAATCAAGCTCGCTCCCGGCTGCACAAGGCCGGGGGCGGGGGAGGACTAACTGACCTCTCGCGTCACAACATCCTGTACGACGGTACCCGGGAATAGACAAGATCTGACCCAATCGTGTCACGCCTTGCATACATCGCCAATTCTTTTTACCCTCTCTTTTCCCTTGTTCGTCTCACCTCTCTCCCCACGGGACATGCCTGGTCCCGCCCACCGCGCAGTGCGAGGGTAAGCCGAGGATTGTGTCACCCTGTGTTCAGTACCTCAGCCCAAAGTCTGCATACAAGATTGAAGCACGACTACCACACATGGAAACACCATGGTTCCTGCTGAACGACCCCGTCCGAGGCTGTCCTGCGTGGCACCGCGTCTACTAGCTTCGGCTCGGGTTGCGGCCTCCGCTGACTGCGAGATTTGTCGGGCCGCGCGATCGCTAAGCCTAGCTCGTGGCATTGGTCTACAACCTGTTGTACTCAGAGGTGAAGAGGCGCCAGTCTCGTATATGATGACATGGACTCTTCGATGACCTACCTTGAATCCCTGATGGCTTGATCCGGCGACTCCGAGAATCTCAGCATGATCTATCTGACAGCACACCGCGAGCCTTTCTCCTGGGACACGCATGTGTTCTGAAACCTTTGACTTTTCTGTGATGGAAAGAAGACGCGAAGAATAGCGTGAGAGGCTGGTTTCTGGAATGAGCAGGCGAGACAGCAAATTTGACTTCATCGCACAAACTTTTGCACATGACCTTCACAACAAATTCTTGCGCACCCTAAGGGACCTTTGAATGTTCTTTTTAAGATTCTAGGGATAGGTACAGGATACTGTTGATGCTTATGTCGGCCGAGATACCTCACCGTGATACCCATTCCGAGTTCGTGTCGGTCGTAGCTGTGCTCCTTGTGCTTCTAAGTAGTTACTCGAGGCTGAAGAGATCGTCTGTGTAAACCCGTGTTGAAATATGTCCCCTTCTTGGGTCGGAAACGGAACACAGTATCCATGCCATGTTTCCCAAAGCTACACAGAGACAGCGGGCTCTTTTGAAGCCGAATGGCTGCCTGCGTCCGCCGCTCAGGTCCAAGGCACAGAATCGTGTTGGTTTTCATCTTGGCATATCTTTTGGCAGCAGATGCCGAACATGAACACGCTCGGGATCGAGGTGGTCATCATTGACTGAGACCGTTATCGCCATACAGTACCCTGCGATCTTGTAGCTACGCCAGCTTATGCTTCATTCGAAGGCAAGTAAGCAAGACCTAAGGATATCGGGCCGTTATGACGTTTGGCACTTTGCGGGTACTTTCGATCGGGGTCCTTTTATGGCATGGTTGAAAAACTTCCCGAGGGGATGAACAATGAATTGTGGTTTACTTGTATCGAGTCCGGTGGTAAGCTCATCAAACAATCTAGGAATTGAGTAGGTACAATGTCCATCACTTGGGGATCTGACCTGTGAGTTCATGCAGCGTCTTGTATTAGGCTTCCGCATGAGCGGAAGCCAAAGAACTAGACTGAATAGATAGTCTCGGGCGACACTAGCCTGGCAGAGTTCCATTTCAGCTATCTGTACCTATTGAGTGAAGGAACCACTTGATGATGCTATATCGTGGTTCATCATTGGCAGGCGGAGGGTTCAATAGCGGCCTACTCCTCGCGTCCTTGTCGCTGTGTATGTCATCGAATACCCACCAACCTTGACGATCGATATGCCAGTCCTGAAGGAATACTTCCATCATAAGGATGGCCCACATGTAGTTTGCAATGCCCTATCCGAAGTATATTCATACACCCTTGGACCTAAGGCGTAGGTTCCAAGATAGAGAGGTAGTATCCGTAAGCCACCCGGCATTGCAGTTCTTCAACGAGGATACGCT